TAATTTTTAGCTTTTGTGATAGGTTTTCTATAATTAATATCTTATGGCAAAGGGGCAACACATAAGATGTGTGTTATTATTTTACGTCACATTTGATTCTATATAATTTGATAATTTGTAAAATGCAAACAAAATATAATAACGACAATTAAGCTTTATTTAAATTTTACTTAAAAAATACTTGTTGATTTTTTATAATCTATTTCATGCTTAATAATACTTTGAAGATATTTTCAGCTCATACCGTGACTATATGACAAGGAAATAGCAATATTGCAGAGCTTCACTGGACTCATGTATTTGCCCGTCTTCAAAATAATTCGTAAAATCGTCAAAGTCATTATGTAAACAGTTAAATTACACAGTTTTATTACCATATTTCATAAAAATTAACTATTAATAATAATTATTAATCATACAGGTGATGAACAAAGAAAATTATAAAAATTCAGTTGCAGTAAAAACAAGATTTTGGTGCAGACGCTTAAACTGCATATAAGCCTTATGTTTAGACGTTTCTTAGGTCTCAAAGCTTTGTGTATTTACGTTTCTTAGGTGTTGCCCCTTATAAACTGGAGGTTTCACTTTATAGTCGAGCTTTCGAATTACATGTTTCATGGGTCATGTAGCTTGACGTTAAAAAGTTTACTTAGGGGTGGGACTGTTCGGTTAGCAAAAGAAAGTACCAAATATATTCAAACTCATCCATCAAATGAATTCCCAATCTCAACCACAGAATTTCTAGATCCGCACTCTATAAAACCATGACAAATGGACCACATACTGATTATGTGTGTCTCGGCGACCAGCGACGGTGGGTTGCGAGTGGCAGGCCATCAACCACGAAGAAGAGGGTTGATTTAAATTTGCAGATCTGATGTTGTTCTCCGTCTTTGATGCCACAAAGAAGTGGACAAGGTCGAATTGATGGTAGTCTATCCAGAAGGACACGCTGGGTTGCAAGCAATGGCTATCCGCTGTTGGAGTGCGGTCGACGGTGATGATGAACGAATCTGAAGCTAAAGAAATTGGAAAGTTTTGAGGGCAATGGGGCAAAAGTGATGATTTTCGGTTTCTGGACTTTAGTTGTTATCAGAATTGGGCTGATTGGGCTTTTGTCCACTATGACAAATGTTGGTTTGGGCCTATTAAATTAAAACACCACATACATTCGATTTTTCAGTTTTAGACATACTTTGGAATAAAGAACCGAAAACCGGAACTGAATTAGAAGGCTAAATAAACGAATCGATAATTTAAAAACACATTAACCATTAACCGAACCGAATCGGTTTTTTTACGGTTCGGTCTGATTCGGTTCTACGGTTCTCAGTTTCAAAATCTCACCCCTAAGTTTACTCCTTTGTAAACTTAGCAAGCAAATGTTTCGACCATGTTCTAGCTTTTATCTGAGACGTTTACTGAAAAAACTTAAACCCTAAACTACATCTATTATCACTTTATTCATTCTACCATCTTAATCAACCCATCACATTGTTTTAAGCTAAAAAATCTTTTTCACCCCAATACAAAGACACATTAAGTTTTTCACACTGCCCAATAAAAAACTAAGTTTTTCACCCCGAAAAGTGCGAAAGTTATGCGAAAACTGTCGTATATTCATCGCATAACTATCGCATATTTATCGCACAATGCCTTTCGCACTTTCTGGGGTGAAAAACTTAGCTTTTTATTGGACGGTGTAAAAAATTTAACAAGACTTCAAAACAGGGTGAAAATAACTATTCACTTGTTTTAATGCAGCCTATATGAAGAGGTTTAATGATCTAAGTTCTAAAATAACTCAAACAGTAAAAAATCAGAAGACCCATTACTACTCCCTGATCACTTATCCTGCCCCAAACGTCTGATTGCATTTTCCAACTGAAATGGAATATTACTACCGAAATCGAATTATACATCCAAAACAATCCTAAGAAGACATGATCCCAAGCCGATACTTGGCATGTACCACCTCTTCCAGGTCCATCACAAGGAAAACGAAAACCAAGATTTGCTTTATCCGGTATCAAACGTGAGCAACGAGCAAATAGAACACCTTTCAGGAGTATCAAAATTGTGACATGAATCGTAAATGCATGGATATGATGTACCAAAAAATCCGCGGTTCCTAATGGAATAGGTAACAAAGCCACCTTGCCGCCCACTGCTACTAAATCACCACTACCCCAGGTTAAACCGGTGCTTGACATTGCACCAGGAGCCGTTGCGCTGGGGGCTAAAGCATGGGTATTTTGTATCCATTGAGCAAAAACGGGTTGTAATTGTATAGCGGTATCTGAAAACATATCTTGGGGACGGCCCAAGGCGCTCATGGTATCATTATGAATATACAAACCAAAACTGTGAAAGCCCAAAAATATACAACCTACATCTATTATCACTTTATTCATTCTACCATCTTAATCAACCCATCACATTGTTTTAATGCAGCCTATATGAAGATGTTTAATGATCTAAGTTTTAAAATAACTCAAACACTAAAAAATCAGGAGACCCATTTGTGAGTGAAAATCAATGTAAAAAAAACACAAAAAAAAATTGAGAGTTAACACATTATTTATCTCATTAGTGTTTCTGATGATGTTGGATTACTAGACACGTGGATTAATGTGGAAATAATTGGTTAGTTTTTTCTGAAGAGGAAGAATGAGATTGGTGAAAATGTGGATTTTAGTAAGTGAGAAAGAAGTAGATTGGTGAAGATGTAGATTTTGGTAAAAGTGGATCCAATTTAAGAGCAACAAATAGCAATTTGAGTATAAACAACAATTTAGGTAAAAGTGGGTAAATTTTTTGTCAAGGCAAAAATGTCCGAACTCATTATCAGATGCAACATATAGCAATGCCCTTTTCTTCGAAACCCATTTTTGGAACAAAAGGACCAGACAAGTGGTGTCCATTAAACACCCTCTCCATATCATCTTCAAATACACATCATTCCATTTACACAATAAATTTATCAACTTGAGCAATTCAACTATGTTATCAAGTGGTTTCTACATATATGAAAAAAGACTCATTGGAAAAATAGAATTGGACCTTCTCCATGAATTACCCAAGGAATAGGCAGCTCAGTTTCCATCTTCATCTCACTACTCAACGCCATCAACACACCCTCCAAATCCTCACCGGACATCCCCACCGAGAACTCGTGCACGACCCCACCCACCTCTATCACACTCGACCCGGGCACAGTCTTCCATACATCCCGCTCCCTCATCAAACCCCTAACCCTCTCCCGATCCCCAAACCTCCCGCACTTCGCATAAAGATCACACAGAAGCACGTAAAAAGCATGGTTCTCAGGCTCCAACTCGATCAGTTTCTGAGCCACCCTCTCCCCCAGCCCCACATTCCCGTGCAGCCGGCAGCCCCCGAGCAACGCCCCCCACACGTACACATCAGGCTCCTCCGCCATGCTCCCGATGAGTTCCTCCGCCTCGGAGAAAAGCCCAGCTCGACCCAACACATCCACCATGCAAGCATAGTGCTCCCGACCCGGTCTGATACCGTAGGCCCGCTTCATCCGGTCGAAGCACCGCCGGGCCCCATCCACGAGCCCACAGTGGACGCATGCCGACAGCAAGGCCACAAATGTCACAGCATTGGGCCCCACACCAGAGCCCTCCATCTCAGCAAACACCCCAAGCGCCTCGTGCCCAAGCCCGTTGAGCGCCAGAACCGAGATCACGGCCGTCCACGCCAACACGTCCTTATCAGGAATCCCTCGGAAAATTTTCATTGCCTTGTCAACATAACCACATTTC